CCATGTACAATCCATCAGCAAACGATGTCAGCTTTATCTTCAAAATATATCCAGGCCTCCATCACTTCTCACCACCTCCATTGCTACCACTTTGGTCTACGCCAATAGTTTCTCTCATTAGGTTACTGCAGTAACCTCCTAACTGGTCTCTCTTCTTCTACCCTCGCCTTTCTACAATCCGGGTACCACATGCACTGAATTATGTTATGGGTTGAATTGTGTCTCCCTCAAATTACTATACCGAACTCCTAACCCTCGGCACCTCAGAATGTGATCTTATTTAGAAATAGGGTCATTGCTGATAAAATTAGCCAGTAAGATGAGATCATACTGGAGTACAGTGGGTCCCTATTCCAATATGATTGGTGTCCCTATAAAAAGGGGGAAATCTGGACATAGACACCCACACAGGGCAAGCATCCTGTGAAGACTGGCATTATGCTGCCACAAGCCAATGAACTACCAGAAGCGAGGAGAGGGGCCTGGCCAGATCTTTCCTTAGCACCTCCAGAGGGAGCGTGGCGCTATAGAAACCTTGATCTCGGACTTCTGGCTTCCAGAACTGTCGGACAATAAATTTCTGTTGTTAAAGTTGCCCAGTTTGTGGTACTTTATTATGGCAGCCCCAGCAAACTATTACACCAGGCCTCCCACAGTCGCCTAAGTGATCATTTAAAAATCACTCTTCTACTCAGAACACTCCGATAGTGCTTCATCTTTCTCAAAGTTAAAGACAAAATCCTTGAAATGACTTACAAGGCCCACATATCCTGGCCGGCCTCTTCTCTGACCTCTTCTACTCCTACTCTACGCTTCCTCAATTTCCTCCAGCCATAATGGCTTCCTCAAACATCCTAAGCAGGCTCTTGCCTCAGGGCCTTCGCACTTGCTCTTCCCTCTACCTGAAACAGTCTTCTACCAGGCATCCTTTACTCCAGGTTTCTGCTCACATGTCACTTTCTCTGTGAGTCCTTCCACTCCCACTCCTGCATCCTTTCAATTCCCTTCCCTGTAGTATTTTTCTTTGTAGCTTTATTACTACCTGGCATTTGTTTATGTTTTTATGTCTATTCTTTCACACTAGAGTATAAACTCTCTGAGAATAAGGATATTGTACTATGGTATAACTCAGAGTCCAACACAGGCAGGTGCTCGAGAAATAGTTGTTGAAAGATTTATTTGTGGAATCAAAGAAGCCAAGAGAAAAGAGTTACAAAAAGGAGGAAGTTGTCCACAGTGTTAAAAGCAGCGGAGTCCAGAAAGATAAGGGCTGAAGTGTCCGTTGGGTGTGGTAACATGGAAGCCAGGGTGACCTTAGAGAGGGCAGTTCCTATGGAAGGCAGGAACCCTCTGCGGCAAATCCACCAGGTCCCTTCCCCGTGCCAGGCTCCCCTCTCACAGGCAGAAGCCAGCCTGAGTGGGCTGTGTCAGCCAAGGAGCAAAACCTGAGGGCAGATGCCTTCCAGACTTCTGTCTGTGAGGGAAGGAGAAACAGGAATGTGAAAAAAAGGAGGTGAAAGTTTGAAGAAAGACTTTATTGCTGAATAACTGAAGGGAGTGAGGTCCCAAGAGCTACAGGAGATGGGGGACCCATGTGCTGGAAGAAGGTTCTCTGTTCGGGGGAGGGAAAGGGTCCTTCTCTGAGTGGAAGGAAACCAGCTTGCAATGAGCCCAGATGCCAATACTCACCCAGGAGGGGAGGCAGGAACCTGAATGGGCTCACTGCTGTGGGAGAGTCCTGCAAGTATAGGGTTGGATCCGAAACCAAGCGCTTTCTTAGACTTTGTGCCCTAAGTGCCTCACTCACCTCAACCAGTACCGACTCCGATCCCCTGATTAGAGAGAGCTGGCTGCTGGCCAGCACCACTGAGGGCCCAGCCGAAACCAGAGGCCGTGGTCTCATACAGGCACAACCCCAATGGCTATGGGATTTCTGGGACAGGTCCTCAGCAGCCTAGATATAGGAGGAGAGGAACCCCAAAGAGCTCCATTCATTTCCGTCAAGGTTGCCTCATTCTTCCAGGCTTCTAGATTCAATCCTCTGAGGCTTCTTTGAGCCCTTCCACCCTCTCCACTCCCCCAGTTCCTCCCAGTCAATCACAGACTATTCCTCTTACACTGAGAGGACTCCTACTTCTGAGCACCTACTATGCGCTGGATGCGACACAAGTTAAAATCCTTATACAACAGTCCTGTGAAGTGTTTTCAGCTTCTATTTACAGATGAGGTTCAAAAGATTAGTAAACTTGCTCAAGGTCACACAGGTAGCAAGTGACAACTGGGATCTGAAACCTTCCATCTCTATTTTCTTTTCTATATTCATGACACTACCCTAGTCCAAGCCCTCAACATTTCATTTCTAATATCCAACATGATAAATGTTATCCAACTCACCTCCCAGCAGCACTCCCCATTTACAATGCACAGATCCAGATGAACCTTCTTCCAGCACTGTTTTTACCTATCCCCATTCTATTTGATTGGCTTTGGTGGCTCCCCGATACAGGAAAATTTCAAACTCCACAGCCATCTCTCAGGATCCTTCATAAACGATGCATATCCCTTTCTTTAACCTTGTTTCCCACAGGCACATTCAGCTCCACCCCCTCCATTTTGCTCCTCCCCTTTCTGTGACCCTGCCTTAAGATCCCAGCGCTGGGCACACTCCTCCCCCTGCAGCTCCACCCCTGTGACTGCCCTGTTTTCCTGCAGTCCACTGAGTGGTACCACCCCAGCTAGCTGAGCTTTCCCCTGCTCTTCTGAGCTCACTGCATTGAGCTTCTCTTGGCAAGTGTTCCATTTGCTCATGTCGACTGCAAACCCCTTGAGGGTAATTAATATGTATTGAAAACGCTTGAAATTGCCCACTGCTCAACACCAGGTAAATGTTACTTGACCCACAGAATAATACTGATGAAGCTCAGATGATGTACCTCTAGAAGTTTTTCAGAAAATACAAGAGACCTGGATGTGTAAGGGAAGAAACAGAGGGCCTTCTTGAAGTTTTTGGAAGCATACCCATTCTTCCTTTGCGGGAGCATCCAGCGTCTGGCACTCTATGCTAACAGCAATCCTAATAAGGTGGATGGTGGCTGGATTTAGCTCTTCCCTCCTCTTCCTGCTTCTACACACTCCAGGTCTTGGTATCCTTCCTTAGCTACCCTTTCGCACACTTTCATAGACATGGATAAAGATCCCGTCTTCCTCCCTCTTCAAGGGAAGAGCTTGACATGTGAGAAATCTGGCTGAGGGGAGTTCATGGTGATTAGCGGGATTGTCAGTGCTGGGCTCCCTGAAGGAGGAAAAAGGATACTATACTATGTTTCTGGGAAATTGAGAGTTGGTCCTCATCAGCCACGGACCACACAGCAGTTCAGGGAGAGGATGGTTGGGAAAAGTGAAAGTTAGCAAAGTACTCAGAGCTATCAAATCACATCCCACACAGACAGAATGAGAGGCAGCTGAATAACAAGGGTTTGAGAGAAAATTATAGGGATCAAGGTGATGCTGTCTCCCAAGATGTCCAATAAGAAATCAAGATCTCCCCAAAACAGTGGAACCAAAGGCAAAATGTGGGCCTCGTGACATAGTTGAAATAACAGGAGCTCTAGAGTTGGGCCTGGGATCAAATCTTGACTTTGTCACCTAGTGGCTGTCCAACCTTGGACTGGTCAATTAACTTCTTTGAGCCAGATTCTGCAGGAGCTAATGTGAAGCTCAAATAAAACAAGAAATGTACAGAAACATCTAACACAGTGCCTGGCATTATGTAAGGGGCCCAATAAATGTTGCTCCCTTCCCTCCTTCCAGCTTTCAGATCTCACAGCTCTCAAATCTCGCTAATAGGAACAAGTACAGAAGCTGCAGAGCATTTCCCAGTGGGAAGGTCTGCAAAGGATGACAAAAGTCAGCAAAAGGGAGGAGAACAAAAGGGCCACCCCACGGCCGCTAAGAGAGAAGGGCTGGACTTCTCTGTGAACGCCCAGGTTTCAAAACACACAAAGCTTCGAGCCTCAGACCAAACCCAAACAGGAAGTTTGTGACAAACTTAGCAAACATGCATGTACAACTGCAGGAGGTTGCACACCACTCAGAAAAGATGAAAAACCATCACTTCTTGACGGCGGGGAGGGAATCGGTGTGGAATAAAAGAAGTGTGCTTGGCCAACGTTCCAAATGTACAAAACTCGTTCTGGGTGCCAGGGAGCTCCTCACTCTAAGAACATGGGCCAAATCACGTGGAGTTGCTCTGGTTTTTCAAAGCCAGGGTCTGGCAGCTCCTCCCCACTTTTTGTCCCTCCCCTACCTCCTCAGGCATCAAGGACAGCGAACACTCTGAACAGTCGATCAGGGGTCTGGATGACTTAGATGTGTGGGGTCATTTTTCAGCTGGGAGAACTCAGCACAGAAAGAGGAAGTGATGTGAGGGGGTCCCACAGAACTCGATCTCCATCTGGCTGCCCGGCCAGTGCTTGTCTCATCAGGCCCCCTAGTGCTCCACAACGGGGGCCCTCAGGCTGCCATTTCTCCTCCTCTGAAATCCTGCCTGGCACTAACATTTTCATGTGTACTGTTCGCACTGGTATGGGGAGCTATCGTTTCAGTTCGTTCATTTCTAAGTGCAGGCAAAGATGGACACGCCTGATCTCCATGATCTGTGTCCCATCTCCCCAACCAGAGTGAAAACTAGGTGCTTCCTTCCGCTTTGTCCACTATCTCCCAGAATCTGTGGATTGAGCCTTG